CACACACACACACACACACACACACACACACACACACACTCCATTCAATCATTTTTCCTACTAGGGGGCTGATTTCATTTCCATTCCCATGTTGACAGGATTGAACATGTTTGTGAAGGACACACTGATTGAGTCTCTGAACTGACTGATTGTCATTGCTCAGTATGAAACACACCCCTCCCTCACTATATGGAAGCCTTTGTTTTGTCCCCCTCACCTCATGTCCAGGCTGTTTTGATCCTTGGACCTTGTTGTTCAGACATCAATGAGCTCAGGCTCCTTCTAACAAATGAAAACTGGGTTAAGCTTATTAGGAAACTAAAATCAGCACAATTACTGGCATGCCATGACTGCAACATGACATACACTCACACCCCTCTCCATTCCACATTATCTTGCAGCCATTAACAACATGAATACCTGAGATGCCAAGTGTACTTCTAAGGTAGCTCAAATCTGGCAACCTAACAATACCAACCAACAATACCTAAAACCACAACTTGTAGGTGGTACGTTTCCTTTTCTACACATTATATATAAATGAATAAAACTAATTTTGAACCGTAGGGAGGATTTTTTTTTTTACAATTTTAACAGAGCCAGGCTAGTGGTTTCATTCTCCCTGCAGTCTTTGTCCTGAACAAGACTAAACATAGACCTGCACATCTGAAGAAAACTGAATCACCCAAAATAATGAACTGTTCAATTCCTTTCCATATATGCTGCATATGCCATGCTTTATTCACCAACTGTTTCCAGCTTGCCATCATCAGGGTGGTAGTGTAGTGGTGCTGCTCCACTGTAAGTCAGCATCCCAGTTTCCCGCTAAGTTACAGCTAAAAATTGTCAATCGATTAGTGTCAAACTGTACACCAACAATGTTCAGCTGAGGAGCACAGCAGAGCTTGTCTCCTGTGTGCCAGCTTGAAGAGAACAAATCACAGTAAACTAAAAAATACATATTCCAGCACACATCAGGATATGCAGATGTGACCGCTGACACTTTGTGTTTAACAGCCTCAAATCTATAATTCCTGAGTACATTTGTTAAATGAAAGAAAGGGTTTTGTCTAACAGTTTTATATTCCTCAGAGTACTGTTTTGGTACCTGTACCAAGTATCATATGGGCACAAGTCAGCCCTACTGTGCTGGACTGAGACTAACTTAACCACTGATCTAGTTCATACAGGACAAAATATACAAGATGTAAGCCTGTTTAAAATGAAATCAAAGGCGAGTGGATTAGACAATACATCAGACAATAACCTTTGTGTGGAGGGGGAAGGGGCAGTGTGTGTGTGTGTGTTGCTGTTGTGTGTGAGATGCCTGAGTGAGCTCCTTCACTTCTGGTGCAGGGCGTCAGATGTAGGTCAGACAGGGTGTCTGTCTGTACATGGGATTCTAAAAGTAAGATAACTTCATACACACACACACACACCCAGCCTCACCCAGATCAGTAAAAGTCCTAGAGACAAAACTCAACATCTCTACAACAACTTGTCTCTTGTCACCATCAGTTTCAGTTTCTCGTCATTTCTGTTTGATCAAATTCTACCTGGGCGAGGGAGTACCTGATTACAAAGGATTGCTGGCTTCTAGGAAATGCATGATGACCACTGGAGGACTCCTGTGTCATTATACAACACTGGAATCTGTCCAAGCATGTTTGCAGATGACAGGCAGTGCAGTGTCTGTGGAATGTCCAAACAGAGCTTCTTTTGGCCAACATCAAACTTGGTGGAAGATTTAACCAATCCTCAAATCTGTGCAACAAGGTTGGGTTCCAAGATGAATGCAAGTAAGATGGTTATTAGTATAGACTTTATTTCTTACACCCTACTTTATTAGGATCATAACAGTAGGATCGGTATTAGTATATATATATATATATTTATTCTATCTTATCTGATAAGTTTTACATCTTATGGTTCAGTGAAATTTGGAGGGGAAATCAGTTTTTGGTGGAACGTCTCGCAACTCATGGTGTTGTAAGGAGTGTAGGTCTAAAATAATGATTTCGTTCAGAAGAAAAAACTCTTTGACAAGAAGCGAACCCCACTAACTGCAACAGACTACATCCCACAGAGTACCACTAACAAAGAGCCAATAAAACCATTGGGAAAAAACAACATAGCAAACAACAGAGACTGACAGTACAGAAAAGTGTACGAGAAAGACCAACATGACACCTAGCACCACAAAGAACACTCTAAAGTACCCTTAATACCAACTGCATGGCATCACTAAGCAAGACTGGAGTTCTTTGT